TCGATTTTCACTCATGTCCCTGCCTCGTCCATGCAGGGACATGCAGGGACATGCTAGCCCATATGCTCTCTCAGTCACACACACATGTACACACAAACCTCCGGCGCCGAAATACACTGTACATACACACAGATGGAGAGCTCATGCTTGTCACATGCACACATGTGGGCGTGGCTTCTTGACCTCCCACTGAACTGAGTACGGTGAAAGCACGCGCGGTCACCAACCTGTAATTTATGCTGGTATCAAACTCCACCCACATAGCTAGAGAACCTTCCTGATTGGTCACTAACTTGGATCAGCTCATTGCAGGGTGTGTCTTGGGTGTTTATGTGATACACACTTCCACATAATTTCATATGGCAATGATATACATGCAGGGAGCTCTCTCCCTGACCGCCATGTGCAAACATTGCATTGCAAAGGCATATATAAACACGTCACAGATCAGCTAACTTCACAGAGTAACTTTGCAAGGTTAATCATGATATCAAATTCAGATGAGGAATAATAAGACATGTTTTATGTTGTTTATTACTGGTCTCTGTTTATCAGGATGACCCAATTTGTGCCATAGTCCGGGGCTGGGAATGCTCAGCCCGACAGTCTGAAGATCAGCAGGGTTCCGAGCTACAGCACTATTAAAAATACTGTATTTTCACTTTTTCAGATTATTATTAAACGGTTAAACGAAACCGCCCGTATACTTTTAAAGGTTAACCGTTTAGCACAAAAACCGTAATTACTCAGGCTTAGAAGACATCGATGTCTGCCGTTTCGATTCCATTTTAATTCGACTGGCGTGCGATCTCGGAGATAAATTCACTCAGCTAGCTCAGCTCGGCTCACAACGCGCGCTTTTCTTGCGTAAGCTAGCTTGCCGGCCTGCGCTTGGCTCTGGCGCACTGGGCATATACTAGATAGCTCTGCCCCCGCGTGCGCCGCGCCGCAAGTCCATATTTTAATAGGGTTTTATTTTACGATCGTTTCGGAGACGTTTCATCTCATTTCTTTACGACCGTTTTCACAACCCCGCGCTATGAAAGCGTGTCTTCGTGAAGCTTGTGATAACAGAAATTTGAGATAGCGACTTGACCGAATATGATGTGATTTTTGTATTATTATTTTTTTTTTTTGGAGAGGCTTACAGCCGGCTACGATTGCCGTTACAGCCGGAAAAAATAGCCGGTTGCCGGCTATTAACAAGAACCCTGCCATCCACAAGCCCCTACGTAACCAGAACACACAGTTATTGTCTGCGATCAGCTGCGATCAGTTGCAATCAAATGGGATCGTATGCGCTCTGTTCCTTGTATAGAAGATTTTCAAGCTTTCCGCATCTCTCTCCCCAGCCACATTTATAATTTTTCATCTTTGCTGGGCCGGATTAAACTGTTTTGGATGCGATAGCTGAACAGTGTGCTCTTAATATAAAGGCGCCGGTCGGATGGATAATTTAAATGAAATTCAAGCATAAAGCTACAGTACGGAAAGATCGATTGATAGTCGTTTTATTTAAACTATTATATACATTGGAGAGACATAACAAAATTAAGATTCATAAGTCTGCTTGAGTGCGAATGCTCTCACAGAAATAGGGATATTCCTTAACGTCAAGAATTGTGTTTGAAAGAAAAAGGGAATCTTTGGAGGATGCATAAAAATGTTTAACTCGACCCCGAAACACCTGGTACGGTGAGAGTACATTCTTCCGTTGTCTTTTCAAAGAGGAGCCATGAGAATGATCCGTCGATTGATTTTCAAAGTACCCCATAGCACTATAAAGTTTACAAAGAACATAATTTGTGTTTTATCTACCTGCTTGTGAAATTTGAATAGGCTTTGTCGACCGGGCTTTCTACACCAAAATTATAATTGTTGTGCCTTTTACCGCTAAAGACCTTTTTTTTCTTCACGCGATTGCATCTGATCGCAAATGAATGCTGTTGCTATGAGACTATACACGTTTGTTAACCTTTCGAAAAGGAATCTCTGCCCATGACAGAAACTACTCATACATCCCCATATTATGTTTCCTCGAATCTCAAACGTTAGAGTTTTGTCTTTTTCTTTCCTTCAAACTTACCCTACAACATTGAGAACTATCCACAAGCCTCTACGTTACCAGAACACGCAGTAATTGTCTGCGATCAGTTGCAATCAAATGGGATCGTATGCGCTCTGTTCCATGAAACTCATGTGAGCGAGAAAACACACATGTATTTGTGTTTATTTATTCAAATATTGTTTCTTTATTAAAGTTTTCCAGCAAGACAAAGTGTAAGTTGGTTTGTAACTTTGTAAATTGTACAACTCAGATTAAAACATGGAGATACAGTGAGTTCAAACATTCATGTATTTGATTATTGTTTGTTTTTTGGGGTCAGATTTGACTCATTTCAGACTCAACAAACGGATACAAACATACACTTGGAACAATCCCCAGGACTGAAACAGGAATGAAGAGCATATTTTATGAAGCGGGCCAGTTTAGATACAAATTTTGTGATAGGCTATGATTTGAACCTCTTGCATGCAAAACTGTCTGGCTGTCTTTTCCTGTGTCAGTTTCGGTCCCTTCTTTGGTTAGTAAAGAGACCACTTTGTGCCCGGGACTACCTGTACAATTTGTCAACAATCTTCACATTGCTAGCAAGTTTTACAGGCAGTTGAAAAACCTCATCAGCTGGGAAGCAGAGAGTGTTGTCTCAACACAACATTGTAAACCATGGATTAGTATAAGGTGAAAAGATATGAATGGAATGATGTCGCTGAAACACATGTATTAAAGCATTAAAAACTGAGAAATGCAGGCCAAAGAGGGCGAGAAAAAAAAGAAGAAAAAAAAACCATTAAAAACTGAAAAATATCAGCCCAAAAAGGGCGAGAAAAAAAAGAAAAGAAAAAAAAAAGATGATTATTTTCCGACCGACCCATGTTTTAGCACCTAAGGCACAATATATTTTTATTTTTTAGGCCTCATAGTTAATTACGTCACGGATTTATACAATTGGCATTCGGAATGTCGCCAGAATGCCCCACTCAGAATCCATTGTTTTGTTAGAACAGAATATAAAACAATGAAAATACACTTTACAAACAAATATGCAAGTTTTAATAAGTGAACCCATAATTATTTACAAAAAATTTAAGTACAAAATAGAATCATAGTGACAAAGTGAGGTGGAGAAGAAGAAAAAAATCTCACTTTTTATTTCTCTAGCGCAAGTGAGATTTTCTTTATTCGTTTCTTTCTCTCCGTCGGCTTAATTTTTGTCATGAAAGCCGGTAATATCAGCGACACTTCATTGTTTTCACCAATCTCTTTCTCTCACTTTTTATTTCTCTAGTGCCAGTGATATTGCAATTCATTTTCTTTATTTATTTCCAACGGCTTAAGTTTTATCATGAAAGCCGGTAAAATCAGCAATATTTAATCGTTTTCGCTTCTATCTCTCTCACTTTTTGTTTCTCTAGCGCAAGTGATATTTGAATTAATTTTCTTTATTCATTTCTTTCTTTCCGTCGGCTTAATTTTTGTCACAAAGCCGGTAATATCAGCGACAACTAATTGTCTCCGTAGGGGCAACAAAGTCTTGTCGATAATTATTGTTTTTAGATCTCCGTAGGGGCAACAAAACCTTGCCGATAATTATTGTTTTTAGATCTCCATAGGGGCAACAAAACGTTGCAGATAATTATTGTTTTTAGATCTCCGGAGGGGCAACTAAACCTTGCCGATAATTTTTGTTTTTAGATCTCCGGAGGGGCAACAAAACCTTGCCGAAAATTATTGTTTTTAGACCTCCGTAGGAGCAACAAAGTCTTGCCGATAATTATTGTTTTTAGATCTCCGTAGGGGCACCTAAGTCTTGCCGATTATTATTGTTTTTAGATGTCCGTAGGAGCAACAAAACCTTGCAGATAATTATTGTTTTTAGATCTCCGTAGGGGCAACAAAACCGTGCTGATAATTATTGTTTTTAGATCTCCGTAGGGGCCACAAAGTCTTGCCGATAATTATTGTTTTTAGATCTTCGTAGGGGCAACAAAACCTTGCCGATAATTATTGTTTTTAGATCTCCGTAGGGGCAACAAAACCGTGCTGATAATTATTGTTTTTAGATCTCCGTAGGGGCAACAAAGTATTGCCGATAATTATCGTTTTTAGATCTCCGTAAGGGCAACAAAACCTTGCTGATAATTATTGTTTTTAGAAGTAGAAAATTAAAAAAAGCAGGCATGCATGATCTAGATAATCTTCAAAAAGGGAAAACAATCAACGTATTAATGAGGAAAACAAAATTGAAAAGGGAGAGATATTTTTAAAACACCCCCGCTTTTTACTGCCGTTTTGAACGGAATCGAGCGCTTTTGTAATACTGCCGTACAGAATATCGCGCCTCTTTTCTGCCGTAGAGGACAGTATGCGCATTCAGTGATAACGCATAACAAGCGCGCGCGATCGCGCTCATAGTCGCGCATTTTGAGCGCGATCAATTGCGTGCGATCAGTGTGACGTTGATCGCAGGCGGAACTGTACATCTACTTTGAATTTCCAAAGGGCATAGTCTACCTTTTTTAACCTTCTTTTCATAACTGGACAACACGTAGAGCTGATCTCCGCCAGCACACGGCACGTGGCCATAGCCTGGCTGTTCCCATCATCTACAGCAGGGAGGGGTACAGTCAGATGGCACATCCCCTGACTGTTGAATGATACTATGCGTAGCATGGGGCACACCCCTGGCTATCAAAGGGGATGGTTACTAACATGGGACACCCTCCCTCTGTTACAAGCTTACCTTGAGCTGATCTCTGCCAGCACACGACACATGGCCATAGCCTGGCTGTTCCCATCATCTTCAGCAGGGAGGGGGACAGTCAGATGGCACATCCCCTGACTGTCGAATGATACTACGCGTAGCATGGGGCACACCCCTGGCTATCAAAGGGGATGGTTACTAACATTGGACACCCTCCCTCTGTTACAAGCTTACCTTGAGCTGATCTCTGCCAGCACACGACACGTGGCCATAGCCTGGCTGTTCCCATCATCTTCAGCAGGGAGGGGTACTAGCATGGGGCACACCCCCTGCCCATCCTGGGGGAGGAGGAGGCTGTGTAAGGCCATTACCAGTTTCTCAGTGATTGACAGCTGCTGTAGGGGAAGTACCTAGAGAAGAAAATAAAACATGGATGTAATTTTCAACTGCTTGGATTTTTCATAGTAGAGAGTTTCTTTAATGAAGATTCAAAAGGCAGTATATAATACAAATACTGACAGCCAGTTTTGTTGTTGTTTGTTTGTTTGTTTTACCTGACTTCTATTAAAGACAGCATGTGTATGTTTGTTTAGTAAGCAACCAGGGGATTGTCCTCTCCAAGGGACTTGGTAATGAGGATCAATGCCTTACCATAAGGGAGTAGCGTATCGACTCGGTGTTGGACCAGGGACCTCCCGGTTACAAGACCACTGCTCTACCACTGAGCCAAACCCGTCTCCTTCGGGGGGTCACAGGTAAAACTTTTGCCCTCTGTGATATCAAGACTGTACTAAGCCCCCTCAAAAATATCAATATTAAAGCCTATCTGCACTAGTTTTGCCAGGAGTGATTAGACCTCCCTGATTGGTCACTGGCAGGTGGTTATCTCAAAAATCAGCTCTCAATTGACATAAGAAAAAAAGGAACATAGGGGATCAATGGGTACCGCTTAGACATTGGTGGCTGTATAGAGGGCGCAAATAGCTACGAGTGGTGTAGCCCAGCTTTAATAAAAATGAAAATACTTACGATGTTCTTAGGTGGTTGAAGCCTGCTGACCGATACATCCATGGGGTTGCTTATCTTGGGGATGTCATCAGCCTCGACAGAAACAGAAGCAATGCCCTGATGTTCAGCTATACTCAAAACATGGGCCTCTAACGGTACACACCCATCTCCAATGATCTAGATAAGTGAAACACAAACAACTGTTGTTAATTTAAAAAAATAGATGATACACAATTCTATTCTATTCTACTCAATTCCATCAATGAAGAGGAGGACGCAAGAAACTTAAATATGAATAAATCGTAACAGTTTATCACTAACATAATCAACATAAATAAATCTATGAATTGAGGCAATTCATTGGGACTGTTTAACAATATATTCAATTTGATTTCATTTGTATTCTGATTCCCAAAACCATACTAAATCATGAGATAAAACATTGTCTCATTGTTGCAGCAAAAAAATAAAGGAGGTTAAAGATAAGCCTTCATCCAAACCAATCTGCCTGTTACACCAGGGAAATTGCCCCAAATTGTAATTTGTCAAAGATATACATTGTAGAGTAAGGCTTTTGGTGCAGTTTGGTTTTACCTTTTACTAAGATTTAGGATTATGGTTAGGGTTAGGTATAGTTTTGAGTCCAGAGTTGAAGTTAGGAACTTGATCAGTATAAGAGAATGATGCCGGGCAATTATCACTAAGCATATAGAGTGGTGAAGTGTGACGTCATCAAAAATCTATTTTGGGAATTTCTCATAACATTATGAGCCAGAGCAATATAACACTGAGTTCCTATAGCAAGTCTTTTTTTCTGATGGTCATATCTCAGCCAATACTTAACATCTTCAATTGGCTTTCGACATTTGGGCATTATCTTTGATGCTCTTTCTAGAATGAAGACAAATTGAGAAATTCCAAAAATAGATTTTTATGATGTCACAACTTCGGTAATCTACATGTATAAAGCACAATTCCTTCCAAGACACCCCCACCCCACTTCTCCCACATGACTAACCTGAGCTGTCGATCCCATCTTGACACAGTCCTGGAATCCACCCAGCGCGCAGAATGCTGCCACCACTTGACGGCAGGTGGAGAGGAGCTGATCGATGCCTGGACCTTGCGGCTGAGAGGCTAGGAGGGCCATGTGGCTTGCTTGCTGTGATACAAGCACAGGCACTTGACTCAAGGCATGTGATAACACCTGGGTTGAGAGAAAAAAAAAAATTCTTTCAGATATGCACTATTAAGACACAAACTTATATTTTTCGCAGAAAATGCAGTTATTAAAAAAAGTTTATGAATGGGGGAAGGATTAAGCGCCTAATAAATGTTATGTATTATTATTATTATTACTTCCATTTTTCCCAGATTAAAAGAAAACAGATCAAAATCATATCTGAACATAATGTAGTATCAATATTACAGAAGCAGATGAGGATGCAGGTGAAACTAATCAAATTTAAATAGGGGGGAAAAGATACGGAGCTTCAATGCATGTGTCTATTTTTATAAAAACTCATATTGTTATTCAAACGTATTGAAATAGGGTCTAGATGTGCACTAAACATATTGCAGAGGCATTAAAATTGCATTATTGTAGATCATTAAGTAGAGATGGTAGATTATTGGAAACATTTACATATGTACATGTTCATGTACATCAATACTTCCAACAACTACATGTACACATGTATTCTACAGACAAAATTCAATTCAATTCCATTCAATGTCCAATGTACATGTACTTTCAACATGGACATTTGTTTCCCTCATATGTAAAATAAAAGCATAGTTTTATAAGAACAGAAATACAAACAAAACATGGATACATGTTGTTCCTTAAATTACATCTTTTAGCTGTCTTCATGCATATTTATGTATTATAATTAAAAGCATGAAAATATGAAAATTGTGTGAATTCATACCAAAAAAATATTGAAATTAAAGGTGTAGAGTATAATACTGACCCTCTCCACAGCAGAGGCCCAGATTTGAGCCGTGTTACATTCTGGTGCTGTGAGCAGGCTGTGCATGAGAGCTATGACCTCGGACGCCATACTGTGGGCAACATGGCCGCTGATGAAAGGTCGCACAGGGTCAGTTCTACCAAAAAAAAACAGAAGAATGAGTTGATACAGTATATCAATATATGAAGAGTTTAATTCCAAGAGGAGCTAAATCCATTTGTGTAACTTGAGAGAAAAAAGAATTTGTTTACCAGATTTTGTACAGGTGCTATAGAAAAGTGACATTAGAAGGTGCATTTTTTCATAATTGTTCCCAAAATTTAGGTAAATACTTTTGTTGAAGGAGGTACCGAAGTAAACAATGTTCTGATACCAATAAATCAATTTTTATCAAAAGTGGATTTAGCTCCTTTTGGAATTAGACTCTTCATAAAGTCAGAACACAAAAATGACTACATACATGAAGCATACTAATTACCAGTAGGCATTTTCTATAACTTATAAAACTGGATTCAAAGCTGTGTTTTTAAAATGAATTTGAATGATGGAGGCAACAAAGCTCGTCACTACTACAGCAGTTTTGAAGGTAGTCTGAAGAAAGGATGAGAAATAAGAAAACCCATGATAATTATAAACTTTTAGGTCAATCAGGAACCCCATGTCTTTTTACGAGCCGATTGCCTGTCTTATTATCAAGATATTTATGATTGGAATCACAAATTTTGAAAACCGTTTGCCAAACGGTTTTCATAACACTACAGTCTATTGAGGAAAATGAGTATGGTAAAACCAGTCACTCAAAGGTGTTTACTTTTTTGAGGCACTTCTTGATCATTTTTAGGTGCAATTTTTTTAGGGCTTCAATATAACACCATATCACAGACACTGATAACACGTAGGGCCATGCATCTCAGATTTAACATTGTTAAACGATCCCTTTAAATATATTTTGTACTGAGCAAGAAGGGAAGCTTTGCCGGCAATTTGCTCAAACTTCCTCAAAGATGTCATTGACAAAGCTGTTCATGATGGTCATGGCCCGACTGGGTTAGGGTTAGGGTCAAAATATGACATATAATGCTGCTGAGAGCGAGTAGTTTAGTGTAACCTCCCATTCAAATCTCCATATTTCACAGACCAACTTTTCTTATCAACATACATGTAAAAACAAACAATCTATACTGCTCTGTAATAGTCATGATACATTTCTATGAAATTATGTGGAAGGGGGGGGGGGATTTGGGTCAATTCTACCTTGCAAGTTCAGCATTCTTTTCCCTGCAGACAGCTTCAGCAGTGACCTTCAGCTTTTCCTTGTTATTATTCTCATTATCGGTGGTCTCTGTCGGAGCTCCCACGCTCACCAAGAAGCCAGCTTGAGCCAGCTTGCCTGCTTTCTGGATAGCGGTAGCCGCGTCCTCGGTAAACAGCTCAGCCTTGCCATTCTAAATAAACAGAAACAATGACAAGATTCTTATTATTAGTGGTTTCTGTTGGAACTCCTACACCGACTACGAAGTCAGCTCTCTTGCTTTTTGTATAGCCATAGCCGCATCCTCTGTTAACAGCTCAGCCTTGCTGAGAAATTGAGGAGAATCAAATTGGTTCTAGGTTTTAAAACCTAATACCATGTTATTACACTGTATATTCTGACAGCTAATTGATTTTTACATTTCTTGCTAAAAGACAAAATCCATTTTTCTTGACAGATGTATCCAGGATTACAACCCATTTGCATGAACATGACAAAGAAGATTTGCTCTGAGAGGAAATTAAGATGGTGACCAGCTACTTGTAATCTTTATCATTTTCACCTCTTACATGTATGGTAATAGCTTTGAATGATTGAAACAAATTTCATAAGCTGTTTGGATAAAGGAGAACATACATGTATGGAGACTGTGTTCTGATATACTTCTAAAACTATACTCAATCAATTGCGGGTGAGAATTCTACTTACTGTATGCATGTTACGATCCATGCGCAGCACCTTTTCCATGTTAGCTCCACTTCCCAGCCTGAATGGACGACCCTCAGAACTGTAAAAAAATGATGATAATGCCTAAAGTAATCTTTCTAAATGTATGACCATTTGCTCAATATTACAGTAACAAGTATAACCATTTGCTCATCAAGGAAATAAACCTGATCATCATCATCATCATCATCTTAAAACCCCAATACAAAATAACTCACCTAAAAATTTTACATTTTAAAGTCAAACTTGAATTGAATTTGACATCATTCCACATCTCAATTTGAAGGGGAAAAATAATAAAATGTGTATTCAGAAAGGCAATACCAAGGTACAAAAAATTGTGCTATGGAGATTCTGATATAAATATAATAGGATCATTTAAGAGTTTCGTGGCACTTCTTGAAATGCAACCAATGATGAAATAAGGTTTTTGGGATTAATCACTTTAACAGTGATATTTTGCATATAATTTCATATGTTAAATAATTCATATTTCATGCCCCTTGGGCGAAGGTGAAAACAAACCAAAAACAAAATTCATCACATACCTCAGAAGAGCCTGAATGACTTCCCTAGATGACTGGTCTTCCCTCTTGTGAAGGAAGACAGATAGGCGGCCATCTTGGTCCTCCAGATCGTCCTCTCTATCAGGTATATAGCTCACTGATGACAGGTGGCCAAGCTGCTCTGGGGCTAGGATGGTCTGACATCCTGAGGGAGAATTAAAAAAAAATTAAATCTGAAATGAAATCTTTTTAATATTTCATTTATTTAATTTATTCATTTCACTCTCTTTTAAAAAATATCAAAAGTATATTCATGTTCGTTCATTATCAACATAAGATAAAAGGAAGTGGGAAATCATGAAAGCCAAAATTGGCTTGATGAGAATGATCCCCAAATAAATGCTAAGCATAAACAAGATACAAACTTATTATATATAAAATACATAGTACATAAATTCACAACAACAGAGGACAGAGGAAAGATAACAAGGTAAAGATAGTTACAGGAAGACAAGAAGAGAGAGAAGATAAGAAGAAAGGTGAGGGTTCAGTGACACACAGACGTAACTACATATTTTGCCAATATGAGTATTTGCTATCAAAATGTTTAGAAAAATGTGGGCTTTCCAGGAAACACAAAGACTTAACTCCACCCAACACCCCATTGAAGTCAATGGCAAGTGAAACATAGACATAGACTCCTTAAGGCCCAAATGCTCAGTGACACATAAACCACTTTTTTTTCTCAAAATGGCCAAAATGGAGTTACGTCTTTGTGTCACTAACCCTGTGAAAACATTCCTGGGATTTCTTTTTTCCATCCAATCTAACTTTTCTTCATTTACAATGTGTATTGTTTCTACAGATGGAGATGGATGGATTCTCAATTCAAGAAGAGGTGATTTTATTTTTCAAAAAGATAAACAACAGTTTTCATCAGGTTTATATGTTGCTTTAATATAACAGACGCATTTATGTGCCGTGCACATACTTTTGCTTCATGCAATTACCGATTGTGAAAATAATCTTCTAATCAACATTTACTTGGGAGATTACAGATAGCTTAAAAAAGAATACATGCTCTTTTTACATACTAAAACTAAATTATAAACACAAGAAAGACAAAAGTATCATCAATCGAGTTAACTTATCCTACCAAACACTATCAAATAATTATCAATGATGCAATGATTGGGTGAGTACCCCCATACTCTCGACATACCTGGGACTACACAATCCCCGAGCTTGGCTAGTAGTAGACTGGCGATACGAGCTGGGGGGTCGCTGGTAATGACGCCCCCTTCGCCACCGGTAGCCGAGGCCAGCTCCGCCCCCCACGCTGGGAGCTGGACATGGGCGCAGTCCTGGGCACTCATCAGGGGGAGGGCTACGCGACACAGCTGGAGGATGATGAGGACCAGTTTGGGGGAGGGGCGCTGATCAAGGAGGAGGGAGAGGAGCTTTGAGACGCAGGCTGGCTGGCTCAGGATAGCACGACCCATACGACTCCTAAATGGTGAAACACAAAGAGAGAGTTCAATGTTCACTTTTAGCAAATGTACATCTGCACAGCTAATCGCTATGCCCAGGATAGAATTTGTTGGAACGTCATCAACAATAGGGTCACAAAGGGTCCGTCATGACTCGTAGGACGACGACGACAGTCAAGAGAAGCAGTCATCACCTCTGCATGTCTTTGCATGATTTTGCTCAATTTCTGTACCAAACCATATTATACTTTGCTATTAAACACATGACAATGTGAAGCAATGTTGAACACCAGCTGTCTTTGATGAAAAATCTTGCTAAAAGGACGTTGGCATAAAAAAAACATGTTTAAAAAACAACAAATTCAAAACTTGTCAGAATTAAAATGATTGGACTTTGAAAGCAAAACTTTCACTTTTAGAAATGGTTACAATTAGAATATGAATACATGTATGTCATTCATGTGCCAACTTTACAAAGCAAAAGTTAGATGTCTGTTGAGCCAAAAGTACATGTAGGAACCCGATGTTATACAGGTGTACATATGTTTTCAGATTCAAAAAGAGAAATTGAGGGTTCATAACATGACTTTAAGGGCCATAAAAAAAATAAGAATGGTAGTCAAGCTCATATTTTTCAGCTCACCTTGAAAGATTATTGAGCAGACTTAGAACCTCCTGCAGAGCCTCGCTCCCTGCAGCCTCGTTGCCGCAGCTCTCCGTCGCTCGAGCAAGGTGATTGGTCAAGAGCAACGACACCTGACGAGCAAGACCAGCGTAGCCTAAAGCATCCTGGGATACCTCGTCAGTTTCCCATGATACACAGCGATTGGCAAGCACCTTCAATGAAATACAACATTAATTGTTATACAAAAAAGCTCCTGACATGAAAAGATGCAAACAGATTACCTACAAGATCTAATTATACCCTATACACCTTCTCGTAGTCTAAGATCATCACATCAACATCTTCTTCAGATTCCAAGAACAGGGGAGTGTTTCACAAAGCCTTTTTTCAATGACAAATTTAAAAAATCAGTGATAAATCTGCTGATAACCAATCAGAAGCAAGGATTTCACTAGCTTATAACAAACTGTCATTTGTCACTGATGACAAGTTTTGTGAAAGATCCCCCATGAGTCTCTTGGGACGAAAGGGCTTTCTCGGACACAGCAACTTTTCTGTGGAACAAATTTCCTTTGGAGTGGAGAACATAAACAATTAGAGAGTTTCAAATCACAGGAATACGGGCTTATCCAGACTCTCATTTCTTTTCTTGTGCACCTTTAAATAGAAGTTCGAAATAGGACTCGGTGGAATTTGACATTTTTATCTCCTACATTATATACCTTTGACATTTTTACCTCTGATATTTTTACCTCTGACATTATTACCTCTGAAACTTTTACTTCTGACATTTTCACGTCTGAAATTTTTACCTCTGAAATTTTTACCACTGACATTTTTACCTCTGACATTTTTACCTCTGACACTTTTACCTGGCACCCTAGATAAATGGTGCAATACAAATGCCTATTATCATTATTAGTGCTTTTGGCAAATGGCCTTACCTGAAAGCCTGCCCAAGCCAGAGCGGAGACCCTCTGACCGCTGGACTGAGATTCTGGCCTTGATGGTTGACCTGACGAATGACCAAGACTACATAGTCTGTCCAGTAAGCTGACCAACTGACTGTCCACAAGGCATTTCTCTTCACTCCTGTTTAATGTAGCATACAAAAGGAACAATGAGCACATAATTTCATATATTTTCTTGCAAAATGAATTGCATTTTAGTTCTAAAGACACTGCATAATTCTCTCATTCCCGTATTATAAATAGGCTTAACCCTATTTAGCCCGGGGGGGGGGGGGGCTTGAGAAGCCCCCCCCCCTCGACATTTTTCGCGATAATTTTTTAACGCAAGAAAATCTTGCACTGAAATTTTGTGACTTTTTTCTTTCGAGTCTTGCGCAACTTTTGAAAGAAATTTTTCGAAAATCGGACCTACCATTACAAAGTCACGTGTCCTTTTGTCTTCGCATGTCAGCCCGAAAATCGCTCATTTTTGTGATTTGTGTACAAAACATATGGAAATCTCATTTTTCAAATAAAGAGGTAAAACATTGGTTATTTGGTCTTGTTTAGATTTTAGGTGTTTATTTTGGGGTCAAAATAGTTGAATTATAGTTGGAAATGAAATAAAACAACAAAAACAATAAAATACATAAGTTAAAAAACAAAGAAATACATAAGAAATTATCAAAACAATAGATAACATAAGGAATAACCCTGGTTTTTCAAATTTTTGTGTTGTATTATTATTCCAAATGGTCTAACAAATATATGTAGTGAGAAAGAATGCTTAAATATGAATAATGTCTGATTTATGGGCAAAAATGTGAATTTAATGACCTTATTTGCATAAATTACCATAAATATGCAAATGAGTGAATTTTTCAAAAAAATTGAAATTACCATAGTATTCTTTACACTTCACTTGACATGTATGCAAATTTTCGCGGCGATCGGGCGTTTCACGGCCGAGATCACAGGGGGGGGGCCTGAGAAGCCCCCCCCTGGGCTATGCAGTTTCAAAATAGCCCGGGCTAAATAGGGTTAACACAAGGAACATCCAGTAGAGGAGTCGTTGTCTAGTGGATAACGTCATCCAACTGTGAATCACAGGGTTCATGATTCATGTCCCTCTGCCGCACTATTGCCCTTTAAGGCCCGGTCTCACCGCCAGAACTTTGCTGGAGCGTTCCTTGAACGGTAGGGAGAGGGGGCAGAATTTCGACAACGCTCGTCACCGCTCACAAAATTGGAAACAAATCAAAAACACGGGCGTCGTCTTAGCAGTGCACCGCTGAAGCCGGCGTTGCTTTAGCGTTGGTTTAACGGTAGCGAGCGTTGGTCCCGCTCCGACACCTCCATACCAACGCCAAACCAAAGTTCATCACCGCAATGGATCGCTGCTTCAACGCCCGACACCGTTCCAGCAATCCTGTGTCCGCTCGTAAAACGCTTACAACCGGAAAATTGCCCGCTCCTCACCGCTCGAAATATTTTGTGCAGCTCAAAACTTTCGGAGCGGTAGGAGGGACCATCAGCGGTGGCCGAGCGTATACGGCGTTGCCTTAACGGGGGCCAACTTCTGTTAAACGGTGGTGAACGTTTACGAGCGGTGATGAATTTTTTTCACCGCTCCAGGAACGCTCCAGCAAAGTTCTGGTGGTGAGACCGGGCCTTTAGCAAGAAATCAATCTCCATTCTCCACTCTCCAACCAGGTGTAGTAAATTGGTACCTGGTAAGGATTTATTTCTTGAATGCTTTTATCACTTTAGGGCAGCTGGGCTACAGCCAGGGTAATACCACTTATTTGTAGGCATGTATCTTGTGGCTTTTTAAAGATATGTTTATCACAACAGCTCATTTTTAAAACTTTTAATTCAATCTTTTCTCATACCTTGTGTATGGGATGGTACAGAGCAGCCCTATACTGTAGGCACAGTCTGTAGGATGATGTGTTGCTTGCTGGACGATGGCTGTCATCGCATCCGCAAAGGCTTGTCTGACGGTCTCAACGAAACCTCCGCACTTCAAGTCCTCTATCCTGTGGTGATAAGAGCGGATTAAGATTTGAGATTAATAACAGAACAAGAAAAATCTTGTATCTAGCAGTTTGAAGTTTCATCAATGGGGGTACACTGTGGAACATGTGAGCAAAGAAATCAGAGCTGATTACCTATGGGACTCAGGATTCTAAATGAAACAAGGCAAACGCCAAGCGCTGTCTCACCAGCGTCTGTAGGCTATGCAGGCAAGGCGAAAAAGTGATATTTCTATTTTATTTGAATTCTCATATATCAAATGATATTCTAGCCCATACTCAGACTGAGTCCTGAGCACACATGTATATACGCCTCTGTTTCTTTCCTATTCTTATCTTGTTTGGTGCTTGTGTGGTGTGTTGATATTATATTTGGATTAGTTTTGTGTTGTTTTGTTTTGATTTGTTTTTGTTATTGTTTTGTGTTTGATTTGTGTTTTGTTTGGTTTGATTATCTTCGTTTGTTTGATTTTGTTTTGTTTTGTTTTGTTTGGTTTTGTTTTGTGTTACAGGGATGTCAGATAGCATTAGAGGGAAGTTCAACAAACTTAAAATCACTATAAATATGTCTGGTCAAATCTAACACATGATTAGTCATCTTGACAAAGCACTCATGGTCTTAGTTACCTAGGCCCTTGTTGCAGGACAGATGTTATAGCGGTCACTAGATGAGCATAGCCCTCCGAGTGACCAGCAGTGGTCATCAGCTGATGGGCATGGACCAAGGCTTGCTGTCTTGACCATCCGCGCTGACGTCTTGCCTTGACCGCTGACAGAAACTCATCCTTCGATACCTAGAAATATGAAACCATAAAAATAGTTGATTTGATACTCATGTAGATTAATGCATTTATCATTCTTTCATAAGTAAATTCTAAGATAATAATTCTGTAAAGCCATAACAAGCATATTCCCCATATATACTTCATGTACAGTGAGACAGAGTTCACAGTTTGACAGAGTACATGATGAAACTATCTACCTACACTGTATATTCATATAGGCTACTGCGTTTTAAAACATTAGATGTTAAATGTACATACTGTGGTCCTCATTCTATTGTCTTTATGTTTTGTCAAAACTTCCAAGTATATTCCAAGAATTTGGTAGTTTTTAAAAGAAATATGTAACGAACAGGAGGAGTAGAAGGAAGTATGAAATGCAAAATTTTCTATCAAAGTTGGGACAAGGAGGTCTGAATAATGCTCATTATCATAAATAACCATCCCAAAGAAGAATCAGAGAGATTCTATGGTAGAAGACCTACAATAGCATCTTGGAAAATTTACAATAAGGCATGGACTAGAGGCAGCGTGGAGTATCAGAAAACAGCATGGCCTCAGAAGAAGAATACCAACAGAGTATTAATCATTATTATCTATATAAGGCTCCCAAGTGGTACAATAAATCAGTGTATTTAATATCTTTAGCACAGTACCCGGATGACTGATCAATATTGTTTTCATATTGCTCAGTCATCCTGAACTTCAACTATAGATATTGATGTCACACGAAAACAAAATCATATTTAGTAAGGTAAGTCAAATTTTGTTATTTCACTAGCCAGCCTTCTATAGATAATAATAATAATATTGTATGGCTTTGTTTTTGTGTGATAAAAGAATATATTGCTCTCGCTTTGAAAATATTGGACTCGTCTTCGGCTCATCCAATGTTGTCATAGCGAGAATTCAACTCGTCCAATATTGTCATAGAGAGAGCAATATATGCTTGTATCACACCCAAAGCCATTTCAATATTATATAATTATCACTGTCACTGTTACTACAGTTGTGTCATTTTATTTTTCACTACAAGATTTAGAAATGAAATTGCTTACAGCTTGAGTAAGTTTGGTTCCTATGAAGGCGAATATTTCATCTAGTAAGTTGGTGAGGTTCTGGTTGCGTTCTGGAGCGCCGCTGTATGCGCTGCTCCTGGATCGCCGCATCTGGTAAGGTCTGAAAAGATATTCAGGGTGAGGAAGAAAATGAAAGAAGAATGAACAATTTTGGACTAGAGCCCATCTTGAGCAGGGCCCAGATGCACAAAACTTACTATTGATGGTAACTTTGCCATCAACCGTAACTACCATGGAGACCTTGATTTTGATTGGCTGTTGAGCCCTGTTACCATGGTAGGTGCCATTGATGGCAAAGTTACCATCAATGGTAAGTTTTATGCAACGGGCCCTGGTTTCATTGAAGTACAATGCTATCTAGTGTATACTACTAATTGAAAAGATAGATACATGTATAGTGTAACAATTACATTTTTGATTGCATACATGTACATATTTTTAATAAGTAGACAAATACATTTTACAAAAAGAGTTGTAATACTTAACATATTGAAAATAATGTTCAGAGAAAATGAAATGAATAAAATAATTAAACAAAGAAGAAATAAATAAATGATAGGGTAGAATATGAAGGATACATTAATAAACAAAGGTTAAGGAATAACTGTATAAACAATTAAATTATTCATGATACCCCTTGTAAATTTGATGTTTTTGTGCTTTTTGTAACTCAAGAATAACGGGCTTAAAAAAAAAATTAATGGTAAGAATTTGTATTATGTCACATTCTAAAGAAGAACGTAAATCGAGACAAATACATTTTTCACATACTTCAAAGCTTGGTAAGGGTACAAATAATTTAGTTGCTAACTGTACACATACATATATGTAGCTACATGATGAGTAAATGTTATGTACATGTACCTTTATACCTTACATAATAATGAAATAAAACACTGTATCTGATGAATGAAAATGTCAAATATGTAGAGTTTACCATATTGCTACACCTCATGTAACAAGAGATACTTGTAATTGGAGAAATGTCGACAGGAAAAAAAAGATCGAGACAGAGAGAGAGAGAGAGGGAGAGGGGGAGATATAGAGTGGGGAAAGAGAAAGAGGGGAAGGAGGAAGAAAGAGGGGAGGAGGAAGAAAGAGGAGGAGAAAGAGAAGAGAGAGAGAGAGAGAGAGGGGGGATATATAGTGCGGGAAAGAGAGATAGGGAGAGAGAAAGAGGAGAAGAATGTAGAAAGAGAAAGAAGGGGGAGATGGGGGAGAGAGAGAGAGAGAGAGAGAGAAGAAGGGGAGGTGGGTAGAAGGTAGAGGTAGAGAGAGAGAGAGAGAAATAGAGAGGTAAACAAATATATGAAGAAAAAAAGGAAAAAAGAGAAAGGAAAAAACGGACAAAAGCCAAACAATACAGAGACATTGTACATGTACATTTGAAAGCATCATACAACATGCATTTCATTTTGAATAATTCTCTACCTGGTGGTCGATTTATCAGAAGCCGTTGGTCTAGCTTTTGTGAGATCGGCTGGCATGGACAGACTTCTGGAGAATTGACTAGTACTGGTAGAAGTTTGACCTCCATTGCCTCCATTCCCTGCATCGGTCACAAGAAGAATAATTGAACATTCATGCGTTACACGTACATGTGCATGAACTACGAATTCCTAAATCTTAAAGTACACAGTTGAACTAGTCTCCTAAATTTACTAGGATTTTGTTAAGATTAAAGTTTTAACAGTGTAATTAAGTTAACTAGATCTATATCTATATACCCTGAAATTGGAAGCCTCAAATGAAGGTTACCCAGATTACACTTCAGTTTATGAATAAATTGTGCACATTTTCTATAAATTCCACGGTAGACACATTCTACATTCCATAATCATTATTCAAATGATAGATTTCAGTTGCATTTTGTAATGCACTGTAATTACTACTAATGTACATGTACATGTATGCTCATTCTCACAAGCAATTAATGACATTGCCTGATTTATCTCAGGCTGAGGTCTGCGGTAACTTTGTGTTATATATGTACCAATATAAAGCTTGATGCCCTTAGTTAAAAATCAGTCAAGCAACCTAGATTTGAATCACGCAGAGGACATGGTGAATACTTTTAGAATCCTTACAATTGTTAGATTATTTCCGTTATCATTAACTCAAATATGTTCATATCATATTTGTTCTTGGGAACCTACAAACTCAAGCCATGCTTTCCAGTAGGTTCCTGTTTCATTTGATAATTTTGAACTTACAAACAATTGCTATATGTAGGGGTGATAGTGAGCACTACAAATAAAATAGGTTTTTTTGTTTTCCCCTCAACCACACCCCCCTTGAGTAAAAAAAGAGAAGAGGATTTGCGGGAAAAAATTGCATCTAATAACATTCCCCCCTTTCGAGTAAGAAAATTGGGTAAAAATAGGGCAAAATAGGGAAGAATAGAGAAAATAAGGGGTAAATCGGGAAAATCAGGATAAAATTGGGAAGAAAAAAAATCTTGTAAATAAAAAAATAAAAAATTTTAAAAATCTGGATTTTTTTTTTTTTTTTTTTTTTTAAATTGGGAAGAAAAAAAATTGGGGAAAAATCGGGAAAAAATAAAAAAAAATTGGGAAAGTGATTTAAATCAGGTTTTTATCAGGCCTGTTTATGAAATGGAATAAATTAGAATCAATCAATCAATCTACATGACTCACAAGGTAAGGTACCCAGCTCGTCACCGCCTTGAGATACGCTCCGACCGATGCTAGATGACCCATTTTCCGTTGCTATGGCAACCTCCAAGAGTGCGTTGGCTCTATCCAAGATGGCCGCCACCAGTGCCTTTGTCTTGGTCATCTTCAACGAGGCATCCTGCTCTGACTTGCTCTCTTCTTTCATTTTGTTCCTACAGAGGGAAATTTTAATTTTACATTGTGATGATACGCGGAACATACAGTACATCGTACATGTAGCTTTAGTAGGCTTAGTAGGAACTAGGTTCGACTAGCACTTGTGCTAACTTCTAGTTCCCATTAACAATTTCACATTAATATTAGCAATACACATAATTATGTGCATATCTTGTACATTAAATGGTATGTAGCTCTATCTCCAAATATATTTTTTAAGCCATAATTACTGTTCAATCAACATATGTTTTCCTTGTTGTATACATGCATCACTATTATTCTTTGCATTGTATGATTGTTCACATACTGTTATCATTGTGAAATGATGTTCTGGGAAAATTTAATTCGAGTATGTGACAGAAGTTAGAACTATAAAGAAACGGAACACACATATAATAAGTTATAAAACCCTTCTTGCAGTTGGTTTGTCTGAAAATCAAGGATCAATATGAAGATGATGCAGCCATTGCTATGGATATATTTCACAGTACAATGTATTTCCATTGTCATCAAATAGGAATGGGAAAACTGGACATTGCATCATCAAATAACATGTATGCTATATCTGATTGTTTCATCACATCAAGTTTTTTAACATTTTCGGCTCAAAATGGCTTTACCAAAACAAAAAAAACGCCATAAATGCACAACATTGGTTTGTTTTGCTCAAAACAATGATTTAAATGTAAATAACCTGTAAGAATTCTAAAATTAATTGATTGAGTATAAAACATTACCTTAGTAATTTGACAGCCTCTTCTCCACTGGTAGTTTCACAGTCAATACCCTTGATGAAGCAGAGTGTCTCAATATCCTTCTTTTTGTCCTGCAGAAAGGATGAAAAACAGACAGAAAATATGATTTACTACTTGAAAAATAAAGGCAAGTTCTTTCAATCTCAACTTCTCCACAAATACACGCACTTCTCACTGTCGACATACATGTCTATAGAATCCAGCATATTTTGAAAATATGAGATAAAGTTTTGCATGCATTGTTTTCTTCATTTTGTTTAGCAGGGGAGAATGAGCAGAGGGAAAAGAAATATTCCAACTATCACTTGCAAAACCATGCCCACCATAGACATTTTCTAACTGCAAAAGAAAATCCATGTTTATGGTAAAAAATATAGTATAATATCTTTCTACAGTAACAAACTGTTTAAATATTTAATTAAACAGGGAGATCCAAAGGATAACACACGTGATATCTCATTTCACACAATCTCACACTAAACACATACATGTACATGAATATTTGATCATATCTTTAAAACTTTATTACTTTCTAAGATCCATTATCAATAATGATCACATCACAAACTTGAATAGCACATTTAAAGTGACTCTGTAACATTGTTGAAGGTTGATGAAAAAACTGCGTAGTTTGTAACTCTCTAAAAGGCAACTTTCAGATGATCTTTAATTGTACATCTAGCATTAAAGTCACTATCCTTAGCACCATTTTCTCTCATCTGAACAATGTTACCAAGTCCCTTTAATATTGTCTCACCTCTTGAAGATGGTAATCATTGAAGAATGGTTGAGAAGCTTCCGTTTCAGTCTTCAGGTCATCAAGTTCTCTCTCCCAACGTTGCTCTAGCTCACCAATGAACTAAAAAAAAAACAGATAAGATACAAACTTATAGAACATTTTCTAGTATTGTATCATAATAACTATAATAACTATTACATAACTTTTGAAATATTTGATCCAAAGGTTTACAAGGACTCACTATTAGGGTTCTTTCCAGCTGTTCACTCAGTTGAACCCCTCTTCCACTGTCTTAACAACACTACCTTGCCCACAACTGCTGAAAGGGATATGTTGAGTTCTCGTTTCAGACCATGAATGCCTTCAAAGCGCATGGTTGTTACTCTTATTCTTATTTATGACATTTCTAGTGCTCTTTTAGGACCTAAAATTGCTATGAAGGTAAATTTAGACCCCAAAATGTGTGAAATTTGGCCAATACGATGATACCAATTCAACTCCACTTTCAACAAAAATATGGTGACTGTTAATTAATTAATGATAACAATACATAGGCCGGCTGATATTGAATATTATATCAACACGAAACAGCCAACAAAAAGCTAACATCAGCATTGGCTGGAATAAAACGTATAAGGCACTATCTTGTTTTTTCAACGGCTGGTTCAAATTATCAAATATTTGTGGGGCACCACAAATATTAGAAATTGTTATATTTATGGATATTTCAGCCATCTCTGAACCGATTTTGATCAAACAAAGATGATTTTGTCATTTAAATTGTATGCTCTTTTAACTTTGTCAATCAGTTTTTCATTATCTCACCAAAAAAATTATTTTGTGTAGCGCCCTCTGCAACAAAACTCAACTATCCCTATTACTATTACTATGGGCAATGGGACTTTTAGTACCCTTACACAGCAGTTGTTTCAATATTTTAACCTGGGCATAACTTACCATAAGTTGTCTTTCCAGGGTATTCACTCTGTTGAAGACCTCTGCCACCATCTTGACAAAGCTACTCTGGCCGGGGCTGCTTGCGGTAAGACCTCCCTCGGTACCGCTCAACGAGTTCAGCATGGGTTCAAGGTCAAGTAGTCTGATGGCTGCAGACACCAAGGTCTCTTCAAGGACAACAGGGTTGATGGCATCTCTGTGCACACACATACAAGTGGGGAAAAAATGAGGAGCCCATCAAGTTTTAGATGACATTTTGACAATCTTTGGATTTTTTTCATTTTTAAAAAAATTTCCTCAGTGATTCGCGAAGGAATAGCTTTGTTCCAGACAGGGTTTGTGTCAAAACAAAGGGACAGCAGGGTCGATAGCATCTCTGTGCACACACAAGAGTGGGAAAAGAAATAAGGAGCACAAGTTTTAAAGCCCCACTGCATTACTTATAGCTACATGTACTTGTGCACTCTATATAGCTAACAATGCCTAATCGTCGACCATTGGTCCCCCATGGTCCCCTTTTTCTTATGTTAATTGAGAGCTGTTTTGATAAAAAAAACACCTATCAGTGACCGTGCTGGGAGGTCTAATCCCTCCTGGCCAAACTAGTGCAGAGGGGCTTTAAATGAAATGTTGACAATCTTTGGATTTTTTCCAATTTTTTTGAATTTCCTCAGTGATTCACGAATGAATAGCTTTGTTCCATACAGGGTTTGTGTCCAAAAAATGTGTGCAATGATTACACCTAGGCTGTATATATCAATATGATTGAGATTGATAGACATTTATTAATTTTTTTTGTACATAGCGAATGAGAGAGGACCTCGAAGATAGATCACAGAGTCAGCAATGTAATCGATTGCAACTCCACAAATTTTAAACTTTCTTATTCTCTATCATAACTTGCTCAAACTTCCACTGATCTGTTTCTATTAAATCATTTTCCTCTTCTATAGTAGCCAACTTAATTTCATGGAAAACTTCTCCTTAAAGGGATTGTGTATCTTTGTCTCAGATTCTGAACCAAAATCCTGGATTAATAGCTCATGCTGCAATGATAATTATAAACCTTTAGGTCAGTCAGGAACCCCATGACTTTTACAAGCCAATCGTCTGTCTGATTATCAAGATATTTATGATTGGAAATCGAAATGTCAAAAACCGTTTTCTTAAAGGTTTATATAACAATACAGTCTATTAATATACAAATAAATATGGCATAACTGGTCACTCAAAGATTTTTTACTTTTTTGAGGCACTTCATGATCATTTTGAAGCGTAGTTTTTTGGGGGCTTCAATTTTACACCATATCACACACACTAATAATACATACATGTAGGGCCATGCATCTCATATTTAACATTGTTATATGTCTTTAGGACTTCATAACCACTGAAAACCATTGGGGAAATCACTGTAGCAGGGTCTTACTTGATACTAGGCCTGAGGAAGGGAGCAGCCCTGCCAGACATTGCCCTCAGTCTCTGCAGCTTGTCCTTAGAAAGCTTGAGCCTGGGTAGACTGGTGTCCGGTACCTTCTCTTTACTTCCAGAGGATGGACCTGTTGTAGGTTGCTGTACCATCTCATGCCAAGCACACCTGCAAGATGTAACAACAGTCTCGTTTATTGTAAGAGTTTACAATGTATAATGTTCACAAGTGTGTGCCAGTGCAGTAAGTGACACTTGGGGAACCAAAACCAAGAGCAGGGGAAAAACTTGTAATACCAACTATTTAGCATTATGATTTAGAGACAAGACCAAGACCAAAATGTCATCAAAAATCCTAGACAGAGACACTGCCTCTTGCTTCACCATCTAAAAATACACCTGTCAAATATACATGTATTCTAAAATATTCTTTGGCAATTCTTTTCAAGAAGACATTGCTGTCAACTCTAAATATCATCCACTGAAAGTCAGATGACATAACCCAAACATACTGATGAGACTGACACCTGACCAATAATTGACCCTCCCCCCCCCCCCCCCGAAAAAAAAAAAAAAAAAATATGGAAAATGAAAACCTCCCAAGTGTCTAAGATTTTGCCTATTGTCTTGGGAGTCAGTTTCTTGGTGTGACCAGGATTTTCAGTTATAAAAAGAAACATTTTATCTCTTTGCAAATGAGGTCAATGCTGTAGAAAGAAACAACTCTTCCTCATTTTCAACCATTTCAAAATGGAAAATGCAACAAATCTTGTGATATTCATGTATTCCAATTCTTAAACTGGCTGTTTATGTTTTCTTTTGATTATCTTGACTCAAACTAGAGCTAAAGAAACTCAAGAAAAATACTTTTCAAATTACCTCTGAATCAGCTTGGAAGACAGAAGGGCGTGACAGCGCTCCTCCGAACCTGTGACCTCTGGTCCTTCGTAGAGAACCTTGAGGAGGCTTGAACCTAGAACTGTCAGGCCTAGTGCCAAGTCAGCTACAAAGGGAAGTCCACTGGTGCAGTCCTCAGATGATTCCTGCATCCAGATTACATGAGGAAATACATCAGTAAGTGTTATGAAAGAAGCAGATTCAAAGCATTTAAAATAAGATATCATAATGGAGAGTCAACGCATAATGCATACGGATCAGTGCAGTTCACGGTATGCCAAATTATCAAAGATGAAGGAAAATCCCTTTTACTTTAGAGAATTTAAAAGCAAAAATAACTTTGTGTCAAGTATTCTTTTCATTTTGGACAAGAGAGATAAGATAGAATATTTAGTTGAAAAATAAAACAACACCAATGATAATCTGGGTACCCTACCTGAGCTCTGACGATGCAACTGAACCCCTACAGGGCCTTGTCTGGTGTGTTGTGCTCACGACCACTGCTCATCTCAATGTCAAATGTCACTTTATCCCCTTCAACCTTATGAATAAACCTTAAAACCTTAATACTGCACTCATCGTGGTACCCTACCTGAGCTCTGACGGTGCAACTGAACCCCCACAGGGCCTTGTCTGGTGTGTTGTGCTCACGACCACTTCTCATCTCAAAGTTAAATGTCACTGTATCCCCTTCAACCTATAAAATAGAAATACGGAAGAAGAAAAAATAATATTTACTGTGTCACACATCCAATGTATAATTAGACAAGTGTTTGACATATTTGTCAATATCTTTTTTCTTTTTTTTTCCTTTTTTTTCCCTTTTTTTTTTTTTTTTTTTTTTTTACTACAAAGCATTTCTTTTAGTGTGTAACAGTGTGAAGATCAAGTGCATAAATATTTCATAATGCTGACAAAACACCTATGAGACGTTTCACGAAATGATCTGCATTTAAGAATTAAGATACAAAAAAGGGGGGACATAATTGCGAAATGATCAGCATTATAAAGATGTTACAAAAAAGGGGGATATAATTGCTTTCAAATTACATTTACCGTAATTAACGGTGTATTAACCGCACCTTTTTGCTGCCGAAAAAAATTAAAAGTCGGGGGTGCGGTTTATACACACGGTACACCAAAAAAAAAAAGTTTCGATTTATGCCCCTCCACCTGGCGCTATGCCTGGCAATGTCTTACAGCTCAGTAATCGGTGTGTTGACTCACCACTTGGAAACTAGAACAACACTCAAATTTGTCTGTCATCTTGGTTTGAAAGTAATCTTTCTGATAGATTTCAATATGTAGTTTATAATAATAATTCCTCCAATTTTTCTTCTATTACACAGCGTATCACAAGGTTCTATCCTAGGTCCTCTACTGTTTTTTAAGTCGGCAAATTTTTTTTTTTTTTTTTTTTTTTTTTTTTTTTTTAGGGCGAAAAAAGAGGGGTGTGGTTAATACACGAGGGCGGTTTATACAACGTTAATTACGGTATATAGAAAAATATCATACAGTTTTTTAAAATTTTATTTATTTGATTTGTTGATTTGTATAATTACTGCTATTTGTATTTTACTTTGGACAGATATTCATCCTTTAAAACCAATACACTTTAGGAAATGCATTTTCCATGTACATACAGATAAAAAAGAACAAATTATGCAACAACATGCGGGCCTCTTTCCTAAATTATAAATTTACCTCTGTTTAGAATCTAAATATTAGTCTTTACTTGGCTGCACTGTTCTCATTCTAATCATATTTTCTATACCACAAACACAAACACAGATATACATACACACACATGGGCACAAACACACACACATTTAACTTCAAAGAAAATGAAAAAACGTGTTTTTCTCTGAATTCCACATCCAGGGACACAGAAACTAAGAAATAGGTTCTCCACCCCTGGATTGACAGTTTCACACAAAAACAAAATAAATAATATACATGGAATTCACACTTCCAAGAATGGAAATTCCACCGTGATGAATTTAATTATAAAAAATGAGAAAAAGTGGTCAGTGAAAGTTTTTTAAAAAATAGAGTAGAATTCCCCTTTAAAGATTATCATGTACATGTATAAAGTCAACTGAGAGTAAAAATTATTCATAAAGACTTAAAGTATTACTAAATACCATAAGTATCTTGTGAAACGACTGTTTAATAGATGAAATCATCAATTAGGAATTAATAATCACTTTGGTTTTTATTACCCACCCACCCACTCTTCCCCCCCCCCCCCAAAAAAAAAAAAAAAAAAATTAAAAAAATGGCTACATGCAGAAAATTAATCTGACCAATGTACAATGTACATACATTTAACATCTCTGGTATAATTTTTTTTTTGTGCGATCAAAAAGAACTACATGTATATACTTTGGTGAAAATGAGATCAGCAATATATATATATATATATATATATATATATATATATATATATATCATACATTATTTCATTGTCCCAAACAGCAAACAGTTGTATAATTCATGATGTAATTTTGTCTCGCCTGCGCAGCAAAAAGCGAGACATACAATTTAGGCGCCGCTTTTCCGATTGCGAAGGTGGCATCAACATGTATTTTTAGTATAATTTTGAAAATATAAGTTCTTATTCAATAAAAATTGGACTAAGGGGTTATCAAGTATCCCCAATCATGTCAGTAGAATTTCAGGTCACAAAGTCAAGGTCAAAGGTCATTTCAGGTCAACAAACTTAGACTATGTTGTGGCATCATCATCGAAGGTTAAGTTTTTGAATTTTTGATATAATTGTGAAAGTATAAGTTTTTATTCAATGAAACTTAGACTGAAGGATTATCAAGTATCCTCAAGAATGTGAGTAGAATATCAGGTCACTAAGGGTCAAAGGTCATTCCAGGTCAACAAACTTAGACTATGTTGTGGCATCAACATCAAATCTTAACCAAAGGTTAAGATTTTGAATTGTTATCATAATTTTGAAAGTATAAATTCCTATTCCATGAAACTTGAAGATAGCCCTAGCGGTTATCAAGTATCACAACTCATATGACACAAATTCCAGGTCACAAAGTCAAGGTCAAAGGTCATTTTAAGTCAGTAGACTTGGATTATGTTTTCACAACTTAAGATGAGAATTAATAAATCAATGTTCATATTCCATTAAAGTTCAAATTATAGTAAACAATTCTTCTGATGATTCTTAGTCAAGGATTTCATTTGGGGGGGGGGGCTGCTAATGGGCCACCCTGCCTATAAATAATGTCCCAACCTCAATTTCTCATCATATCGAATTTTGTAATGTTTCCCTTGTTATTTTATACAGAAATTTATCATCCCTTATATCAAGAATGGTTTTCTGTAGTAGCTTTTAGCGTGTTGGTAAAAAGGAAAGAGATAAGAACCAGTTCCAGTATACATACAATCATCTCCTATTGACTACTATTAAAACTACAGACAAGGAAGGAAACTGCGATTACACCAAAGGTCAAAAATATTTTGGTAGAAATTTAATCTGCCTCACTTGGTAATACAAACAATGTACACTGTAGTAGCCAATTCATTTTGGAAAGAGTGTACTTACAATGTGGTACATTAATAGCTAAATTACAATACATGCAAGACATAAAGTTTGAGGAGACTTTGTATCATATGAAGTGCAAATTGCTGTTCCATTTCCAAGGAGTGATCCTAATCAAAAGTGGATCATTATCAGCACCATTAATAGTCATATTAATTGCTTTGGGAAGCGCCCAAAATCCTGTCACAAAATTTCAATGATTTTGGGTAGTAGATAACTTAAAGATAGTCACCACTCGAAATTGATGTGAGATTTTGTGGAGGTGTAGAGGTGTTGTGGTTTAGTGGTTTAGTGGTTTGGTGACTTGACTCTCGATCTAAGGGTTAAGGGTTCAAATCCCAGCCTGACCCTAATGTCCTTTGGCAAAACATTAATGCACAATTGCCACTTTCCACCCAGATGTAAATGGGTATTTGATACGCCAGAGCACTACATTCTTGGCTGTCCGCTATGACTGGGGTAGTAAAGTGTCATGGCATGACAGACATGTGCGCTACATTTAGCATCCAACATGTTTTTTTCTCCTCCAGTTGTTTATCACATGAAAATCTGTTTGACACATGCTGTATAAAAAAAGAGAATAGCTGTGAGGTCAAAAATTTGTGCTAATAATAATAATAATATTAGGTGGTTCTTGTATAGCGCTCATGTGAGTCAGATTTGACCCTCCTGGCGCTCCCGATTATTACCCTGGCTTTAGCACTGATCACTGATGGATGAAATGCATAGAGCATTATCTTATTAAGACCCTATCCAATGAAAATACAACTTGATATAAATGGAAAACTGTAGAATGAATGTAGAATACAAATAAAAAGGAATAAAGATGTATGGAATTCTCTACCTAACAATATTTGAAATATATCACCAAACTCCTTTAAAAGAGCACTTAAATGTATTATTATTTCACAGAAGTAAGATATTACTTAATACATATACCAGTTCTCATTAGTTCTAACATAAATTTAATTCTCTTATAATCTATAAGACATTTTACTAGACTTAACAATATACTTTGTAAATATTGTACAGTAATAGTTCACAACCCTTTAGGAATTTTATTTGTCACATATTATATATTTGAAAGGCGTTGTAACGATTCAAGCTCTATGCTTATATGTTTCATAACCTCTGTGTGTTTATTCTTTAAACTGTATAACAGTTGCAACTTGTCTTTGATAAAACATTGTTATATTCTTTTTCATGTGAAATCAATTAAAATGGATTGTAAAATTGAAAATGATTTGTTATATTATTCTTTTTCATGTGATGTTAATAATTATAACAATAATAATAATCTTTTAAAGTCCACTGCAAATTTTATTAAACCGAACATGGAAATTCTTTTTGCCCAATTGATCGTGAGCCCGGCTCTATCCATTATACCGTAGCAGTAACTCCCGTCTTTTAACGTCTTTTGGTTTGAATTGTGAACATGCATAATAAAATTAATAAAATTATTGCACAAAAGCAAAGTAAAACCTCATTTTCCGCACCCCTCCAAATTACAGGTCAACAGGGGTCAAATTTGTTGAAGTTACAGTGACGACATAACATGTAGAGTTGTGGACCCCATACATGTAGGTTCACCTATGTAGCTGAGGCAATTCATGAGCCGTTCTTTATAATTAATGTAAAGCAATTGTGAATATACGTACTCCACATAAGATGATGTCATCGAGTCGAGATGTCTACATTAAACTGTAACCTGCAAAGTTCAATTACTAGAATTAGCAGGGATTTTTGTTGGCGGCCTTTCACTTTCCTACTGAGAAATTTTTGCCTCGATTCCATCATACTAATAACAGGAAAAATAAAGAATTTTGACAATGACTGCAATTTCTGTCGGCATGGTACTACTTAAAAAATGACTAGTTTCAAGGTAGGGCAAGATAAAATGCAATGTGTAGAATTCTGCCAGGAAATATGTAGAAATTGTGACGCAATGCCATAAAAGGTCTTTCCTGCCTTTATATAATTTCCTGAAGCACAATTTGAGCCAAAAAGATACCGGTAAGCAGAAACCCAAACCCACAGGAATTTCCCTTCGAAACCCACTTTTCCAAAAAAAATTACGTACCAGTAAAATCACCCACTTCAACAGGATATCAAATGAACTCATATAGTAG